TAGGGAAAGGGCTGTCTCAGTTCCATTTTGTGATATTTGGAAGTAAGTATAAATGAAATTCCTGTGTGTAGCTTAAGTAGAGAACTAGGTAAAGTTCTAAGTCCTCCTGCAGTGAAGCTTCAAGAATGCTCTATTACTATAAAGAGATAACCTGTGTATTCTGGTAGCTGCCAGTGTTGCGCATTGTCTTTCACAAACACTGACTTGAAATTTGTCATGTTTTGCTGGTTTCTCTATTTTACTGTGCTTAGTGCTCTGTTTTTTCATGTCTCCCTCAACAGCCATTAAGAAAACAATGCAAACCCCACAACTTTCTGAAACAATAACTAAGTGCCTTACAAGTAGGTTTTACCCTTTGCTTACCAGGGAAACCCCAACTTGGATAACTGCATCGAGAGACAAATGAGTCTTCAAAAGGACTGGTCAAGCATCCTTTATCTTTACAGTTGACAGTGTAATGGTTTTAAGTGTTTGAACATAAGCCTGTTTAGCATGACTTTACAACTGTATTAGCTTTGTACATCTGAAAGAAATCATGTCAAGTGTTCACATGAACCCACTCTCACTGTATCCTGATATTTGATGTGCTTATATGTCTGTCTGCTTTATTTCAGGAATTTGCAGCGCTTACAAAAGAGCTGAACGTATGCAGGGAGCAGCTGCTGGAAAGGGAGGAAGAGATCGCTGAACTGAAAGCAGAAAGAAATAATACCAGGGTTAGTTCCTTGTCTTCTCCAAGATCACCATGTTAAAGCTTCCAACTGAAAGTGTTTTTTCCCTGACATTTGTACATGAATCTTTCGGAAGTGTTTTGATTAAGAAAGTTTGGAAGCTTATGCACAGCTCCCAGTAGTGCAGAATCAGGAAAAGCTTGCAAGACTGCGCTGCTCTCTGACATTCAGCTTTCTTGCTGCAAAAGTTTTGTAATCATCTAACAGCCAAGATCAGAGGAATAGAGCAGGCAAGCTGTCAATAGGCATGATCTACTTCAACATCTTGCACTGCTGCCAGTTGGTCTCTGATTTAGAGCATTTCCTGTGTGTCCTCCTGACAAGCATGTAGTTCCTCAGGCTGGTGGCAGAACTGAGAAGACCTTGGTTAAGTAGGAATCTCATTCAAAAAACAGACTGAGACATGTAGGAAATGCATTAGCTCTGATACAGATTCAATCACAGGTGAAATGTTAAGAACAGGTCCTTACTCCTGAAGCAATACTCTTTTGGCTTTCAGGTTTGAAGTTTAAAACTCAAAACCTGGTGTTTTAGGAGGCAAAGTCTTCTGTAGCTCTGCAGAACAAGAATAAACGTTGTTCCTTTTTTGTTTGTTTCTCTTTAGCTTTTACTGGAACATTTGGAGTGTCTTGTCTCCAGGCATGAACGATCTCTCAGAATGACTGTTGTAAAGAGACAAGCTCAGTCTCCAGCAGGAGTTTCTAGTGAAGTAGAAGTTCTCAAAGCACTAAAATCTTTATTTGAGCACCATAAAGCCCTTGATGAAAAGGTAATGAAATACAGCATCTTCTCATCCTGTCCCTTCTTCCTTTTGTGTGGATCATGCAGTTGCTCATACTGAAGTTTTAGAAGTCACTGAACTTTCTTCGTATTAAGGTGGTGGCTTTGCTGTAACTGTAACTTCTCTCCTAAATTAGTATTGTTGCTCTGAAGTAGTAATTCATCCTAGTGCTTCAACTGTGCTAGTGTAAATTAAGCATGATTCAGGGGTGATATATTTGTTGTAGGAATGCATACGTTTGCTTACCTGGATAATATCAGGTAAAATCAACCTTTTGATTGTCTAATACAAGAAATGAACTAGAGAGAAGAGGAGGAGAGAAATCTGCCTATGCTGATATACAGTAAAGCTGAATTGAAGGAACTCTGCCCTTCAGTTGTGCCTGATTTTGGGAACAGGATATGTGAGTTGTAAAGTTTACTGTGAATTTTGCTGCCAACTCATAGTTTGCCTAACTTCTGTGACCCTTGCATATAAAGTCTGGCAAATTATTTTAAGTGGAATTCAGTCTCTTCCGTGATGCAAATAAGCAAAAGCATTCACACTCTGCGCCTTATAAAAGGATAAGCAAATTCTGGGTGTGTTTAATTCTTGCCTAAACATACAGGTCATGTTGTGATAGGATATGTTAATGAAAAAAAAAAGGCAAAGCTAGATTTTAAGATATGATTTGCTTCTCTGGAAGGTTTTTTATAGTGTATGTTGTAATTAGACTCAAGGTTATGCAGGTCTCTTAAGTGTAATGGAAATAGTGCCTTTTATTATTTGAAAGGGCATGGCTGCATGGCAATAAATTAAATGGATTTCTTGTTAATTTGAATGATTTCAAATTACTTGGAATTACTCTTTCAGGTAAGGGAGAGGTTACGAGTAGCACTTGAAAGATGTAGCTTATTGGAAGAAGAACTAGGTACTACACATAAAGAGGTATGTTTCTTTATTTAAAAGTTCTTCATGTGTGCATTGTGGATGTTTTTAGCCAATATTTTTAAACAGTAATTTATTCAGTCAAGGTTCACTTTGACTTCTTGTATTTGATTTTTTGACAAATAGGATGACTGTAATAGGATAACTATTGTTCTTAGTCACTTTGAAAGAGCAGGAAAGGGGGGAAAAAAACCCCGAACCCTAAACCCCGAACCCCCCTACCCATCCCTTCCCATCAAAACAACAAAAAGAGTTCCTGTAGCTTTAAAGTAAGAATTTTGGGTTGCAGTGGCATAAGCTTTTGAGGGCCTGTGCCATATTTTATTAATACATACCTTGCAGTAGGATCAGTAATTGTTTTGCTCCTTTGCTTTTGCAGCTGTTCTTTATATTATTACTGAGAAAGGAATTGACTTGAAACATATGGGTGTAAACTTTTCTTTTCTTTCAGTTAATGATTCTGAAAGAGCAAAATAATCAGAAGAAAACACTTCCAGATGGGATGCTGGATATGAACCATGAACAAGAAAATACACCAACTACAAATGGGAAGGTACAGCTAGTTACTGTTGGGTTTTTTTAGCTGATGTTTGATTTTTAATCATTAACTTTAATGATGAATCATTAAAGTATAATAAAAGATTTCTGGTGATTAATTAAAAAGTTTGTTACCACAATTTCAATTTTTGCAGTTTATCCAGTAGTAAAATGATCTTGGGAAGGGATGTTTACAGGTAACAGTTTGTTTTTCACATTTCTGTGTAACATGCAAATACATATTTTCTTTCTCCCTGCTCAATAGCGATCCTCTGATGGTTCTTTATGCCATGATGAAAACCTTACTAAAGTGATTGAACTCCAGGACATCATAGATAAACAAAACAAAGAACAGACACAGATGAAAGAACGTCTTACGTCTTTGTCTAGCAGAGTAACAGAGCTGGAAGAAGATCTTGACACAGCTAGAAAAGACTTAATAAAATCTGAAGAAATGAATACGAAGTTACAGAGAGATGTACGAGAGGTGAGGAATAAACTGTCAGAACTTGGGTAGTCATAAATGCAACTGCTATATAAAATTTCAGTCATGCTGGAGCTCAGTTATACCTTTTATGCTTTTTAGTGTCTTTGGTTTGATAGGTGAGAAGAAAATCTAGGACTAACTAGATATTATTTCATGAATATATTAAGTTGGAGAAGATTTAGCACTGTGAACTTGAACATGTTCTTGAGAAGATACTTGATCTTGTCATAAATGCTAAGCCTATTCATGGAGTTTGAATTTTTTAAAGATGTATGTGGTTAAGGAATCACTTAATTTCAGTGATGTGATTGACAGTTCCCGTTACTGATCAGTCACTAATCTCCAAGGTCCAGTGTATTGCAGTGTACTGTATCCTTATTAAATAGAAGCAGAGCTTAGTTACGTTCAAGAACACTCTTTTGTCTGTCCCCAGGAAGTAAAGATTTGCTGTGTTTGTACCATAGAAAAGGCAAATAGCAGATCTGTAGTGTAATATAATCATAGAATCATGGAATGGTTTGGGTTGGAAGGGAGCTTAAAGCTCGTGTAGTTCCAGCCCCTGCCATGGGCAGGGACACCTTCCACTAGAGCAGGTTGCTCCAAGCCCCTGTGTCCAACCTGGCCTTGAACACTGCCAGGGATGGGACAGCCACAGCTTCTCTGGGCACCCTGTGCCAGCGCCTCAGCACCCTCAGTCTTTTTGTTTATTCACTGAAAAGAAAATTAAAGAGTCATTGAACTTAGAAGCCTAAGTAAGACTATTATTTCTACTTAATTTTTTACTGAAAGAAATAACAGTGTCAATTGGACTTTTATTTGCTTATTATTACTTTTGGTTTGTGGGGTTTTCTGCCAGTTTGATCACTAAATAATAATCCTTTCTATTCTAAATTCTGTCTTGTGTCTTGCATAGACTATGGCCCAAAAGGAAGACATGGAAGAGAGAATCACAACTCTTGAGAAACGCTACCTCGCTGCACAACGTGAAGCTACATCTGTGCATGACCTCAATGATAAACTTGAAAATGAAATTGCCACTAAAGACTCTATGCATCGACAGGTTGTAATTTGAAATGAGATATAAAGTACATTCTGCTCAGCATAAAACTAGTAGAAATAATTAATGTTCATACGGTACTAAAGTATTTTGCTTTTAGGAAGATGAATATAATCTGTAATGTACTGTTAGTGATTGTTGTTAAGTAACTAGAAGAGTGTGTTCCACAGAGTTTTACCCTGGAAGTGAAGATGAGACAGTTTATTGGGGAGGGCAAATCATAGAATCATAGATAGTTTGGGTTGGAAAGAACCTTAAGATCATCTAGTTCCAACCCCCTGGCATGAGCAGGGACACCGCACACTAAACTATGTCACCCAAAAATGGTTTTGAACATTTTGTTGCACTTGATCACAGTGCAGGAGGGCTGTTTTCCCTATGAATTGTGGATTTTCAAGTTCTTATATGTGTATCCAAGCATCTTTAGTTTCATTTGTGGGAATTACTCATTCTAAGCTAAAAGCGTTTTAAACTTCATGTAGTAATTTTTGTAGCCTGTAACAGAAGTAAATGTTGCCTTCCTGTAGAAGAAATTTGACATACCCTTGTCATGAAGAAGCCCAACTTTTATAAACTGGAAATAGTTGTTTAGCCAATCACTTTCAAACTAGAGGCAGGCAACTCTTAGTCAAGAAGAGAAGTCCCTTTTAGTGCGATTCTTGAAACAAGTTGTACGTACTTTGAATGAAAACAAACTCTGTGTAGTGTTATTTGAACTATTTTTTTTCCTTATTGTAACTCAAGTCTAAGCACAGCCTTGATATAGAAAATACACAACTTGTTCTGTGCTGTGCTGCTTTTCATATCATAACTGTGTTGTTTTCAGAATACACTATGTTGTAATCAAGGGGATGATGCCACGTTTTTGGTTATGAAGCCAGTTTTGGAGAGTTTGTTCTCCATAGGTCTAGTAAAGGCAGTAATCTGTATCCTTACCTTCCTCTCTGCTGAAATGAATTACCATTTTAACACTAAACATTTGATGATCACAGAGTGAAGACAAGAACAGGCAGTTGCAAGAACGACTGGAACTGGCTGAGCAAAAGCTGCAGCAGACTTTGAGAAAAGCTGAAACTTTGCCAGAGGTGGAGGCTGAGCTGGCACAGAGAGTTGCAGCACTTTCAAAGGTGAGTGAATTGGACAGTGTCCTCAAGAGACTCTTCTCCATTGGTGTCCTGCTACATGAAATCTGCTCTTAGTGTGGGTTTAGTTACATTAAGTTACATTTCTGTTTTTCTCCTAACTAGTTCAGAAAATGCTTCTCCTTGCTTTCTGTTTTCTGTTCATCTCTCTGAACACACTCTATTTCCACACACCCCCCCCCTTAAAAGAAATTCTTCTCTTTGGAACTTGAGTAGATTTCCTGTTACATGATGAAAATGTCTCTGAATTATTATTTTGTTGCTTTTTATTAAAATTCAGTCAATAATAGGCATAAAGTCTTCTAAAACAAGAAGTATTTCTGAAGAGGAATGCTAAATTTCACTGTTAACCAAGTGAGGACTATGGGGAGAGAGAGAAGTAATGGTACTCATTAATACTAAGTCTTTTAGAAGGCTGCCAATAGAATAATGAAGTCTGAAGAATTAATGTAATAACTACAAATAAGCCTTTTCAAGCATGTGTGTGTGTGTTTCCTTTCAAAGTCTTAGTTTCATTTCTTTCCCTGTTATCTTTCCTGTCCCTAACTGGCTCTTTAGTCTGACCTTTTGTCTCCTGGGAACTCTGCTGCTAAAGATGCTAAAGTATTGGAACTTACCACCAAGCTTAGGAAGGTAGAATTTGTATACTAGTCCTTGTTTCTGCTTGCTGCTTTCTGCTTTGTCATGATTACTAACAAAGGGTCATATTGTCGAGGCTGGTGAAGAAAAGCTGAAAATGCATTTATTTCAGTTTATTTTATTTTTTATTCTTGGGGATATGAATGATCTGCTGTTGCAAGCTCATTGCAAATAGGAGTTGGTTCATGATACTCAAGGGGTGAGAGGCTTCATCATTTTGTTACCATATGGACTATTGCTAGGTTCTTTCAGTGACAGAAAGGCATCTGTTCCTTATTGTGTATTACCATAAATGGCAGTTGCACAAAGCATGTTAGCTATATTATTGTGCTTCCATGTTTCTATGCATTTGAAACCTTTTTTATTTGTAAAACAAACAAATTCTAATGTTGTTCTCAAATTGACAGGCTGAGGAGAGACATGGCAATATAGAGGAACGACTGAGGCAGATGGAAGCACAGCTAGAAGAAAAGAATCAAGAACTGCAAAGGGTACCGTACATCTTTCTAGCAAAGATCTAATCCCCTTCTAGCCGTTTCTGTTTCTCATCTTGAAAATAAAGCCAGAGTTCAGGCTGGATGGTAGTTGGGAGAGTTGAGCCACTGAACTGTGGCTAATCTTAGATCTCAAGAAGAAGCTTAAAGTTTCCAATAAAAGTTTGAAAATATGGCTAGCAATTAGGTATTTCCAAATATTCTTTCTGATGAGGAGACAAGTCAAAAACTTGCGAACCAAATGACTGGAAAAATTGGTTCCTAGCTTATAAATAATGGAACTGGTTCCGAAATGTGCTTTTTCTTGAAGAGTAAGCTCATCTTTTCAAGCTTTTGATCTTTGAACAGTTATTAGAGTCTTAAGTGTCCCTTATGCTCCTTGCAGAGTCATGGAGGTACATGCAAGTGTTGCTTATTCCTTTGGAAAAATATGTCAATTAAAGGAAATGCTTTTGGTTTAAAGAAAGCTCACTGTTTTTACAACCTGGAAATTGTTATAGACATTGTAAATGATAAGTTATTTCAGTAGTTTTTATGTATCTTAGGCTAGACAGAGAGAGAAGATGAATGAAGAGCATAATAAACGTTTGTCAGAAACTGTTGATAAACTTCTGTCTGAATCTAATGAAAGGCTCCAACTTCATCTCAAGGAAAGGATGGCTGCCTTGGAAGATAAGGTAATAAGTCACACGCCAGCATATATGTTAATTAGACGTTCTTCATTGTGTAGTGATTTGTGTGTTTTGCAATGTGTGTTTTAATGTCTGTAACTTCAGAAAAGAAATACTAAATCCTTATTAATAAATAGTTCATGTTAAGGCTGTTTTCTTAGGTGGATTTTGAAAATAGGTTCTTCAAACTCTTGGTTTTGAGGTTGTCCCTGGGCATTGTACTACAGTATTGAGAAGGTATCTTTTGGGAAGCTTTATGCTTTCTTAGCTGACCTGTGTGGGCTGCATTAATAGGCTCATCCAGTGTAATACAGGAAGTCTAAAGAATTAGGACTAGAACTTTGACCTTTTCAGTTCAGTTTCTTCTATTTCCCACTACTTTTGTCTGTGCCAGTCAACCCTGAGTCATTCTGGGATTCTTGCAAGTTGAAACAGTCCTGCATTTTCTTCCCAGGTAGATAATTTTGAGCCAGGATATATGAATATACGGATATTTCTTCCATGCATGCCTTTAAGTTAGATTCCATTATTCTGTATTGAACAAAGCAATGTCTTCTAAAGTAGCACTTTTCTTGATCCTGACTTTGAATTTCTTTGTCTTGGAATAAAAAAAAAACCCAAACCACAACTTTGTTTCTTTTACTGGAGAGTGAAATGATGACCATCTGGTCAATAAAAGCCAAGTGGCTTTTGTTTTAAAGTCATGTCAATAAAATGCTTCAGTTGCAGTATATAACAACGTATTCAGACTTCTATTAGATGTTAGCTTTCTCTTGCATTCGTGTCAACTCATTTCTCCTTCGTAAAGCATCAGTCAGGTATCTGACATGATATCTGATAGGAATTCTTTCCAGAATCCCAGCATTGTGTTCCCCTGAGATGATTACAAAGATTTAGTTAGTTCTTTGCCCTGCTTTTGGAGTTGAGAGGTATTGGATAGTGCAGAACAAATGTAGGTCCTACCGATTCTCACCGTTTAAGTTAATGACAAAGGTGGTTTTCATCTGGCATCCAGGGCTGCAAACTTGGGATTTTTTAGTTGACATAACTATTTTCAAGATAACCAACTGCTCCTAATACTTCAGAAGTTCTTATTGTGAGCCTTGTTCTGATTTCAATGAGGTTGTTCTATAATAGTCTTTATAAACTCAATGTCTAGGAAACAGGTGACTGCATATATTCTTTTCTAAATGCTTCAATATTTGTGTTGTGTGTATTAGGGTTGACCCTAACTCACCTTTACCTTCCAAACCTTAACTATGTTCATTCATAATGAGGAAAATCTAGTCAATCTAGTTGTCCTTCACCATAACAGCTTCTATAAATGTTCTCTTGCTGTGGTTTCCAGCTCATTCCTTTATGATAAGTTGGGAAAAAACATGCAAGTAAAATTGTAAGTCTTTCTTCTGATCACTTTCCTGGAATGATTAATTTCCTGGTCTTTTTCCTGGAATGATTTGTTTGTATGAAACTTTATTTGCATCTTAAACATGTCATAATGATACCACTTACCTCAAGGAAACGTGTTTAACAGAACTTTTTGGCAATTGTGGGAAAGGAAAAGTGAATGTTTCTTAATTCTCAGATGATTCTTAGTCTGAATTTGGAAACTGTTTTGAGTAGAGATTGTAGTAGCCGTAAGTATTTATATTTACTGGAGTTGTTCAGAAGTCATGGTATAACTGTGAAGATGTTAATGAAGTTCTGATGTTAATGAAGGCCCTTAAGTCAGTTCTACAGATACAGCACATCCAAGAAATTCCTTGTGGTGATTTTGTAGGTCAAGCAAGTGAAAATAAAATGAAAACCTAATGGTAACAGCCAGTAATGCCTTAGTAAGCACTTGGTGAATTACTTTGAATTAGTTTAGCTGCCTTGTTACTCCTTTGGTTTTTTTACTAGCTGTGTCAAACAGAGCTTCAAAAGGCTGGTATTAAATTTTTATGCAACTTGTTCTGTTACTAAATCCACTTTTTAGAGGGCTGTACACCTGGAACTATAAACCTCCAACTATAATCAAAGTGAAATGATGAAAGCAATAAAGTATCTGTAACTTAAGATGCATCTGCTTGTGTAGTGTTGACTGATTTTTTTGGTACTCGTCTTGCTTATGGTTTAAGAGTTGGAAGCTTTTATAAGTAACATAATTTGTGATACGTTTTATTTTAGAATTCACTTCTCCGAGAAATTGAAAATGCAAAAAAACAAATAGAGGAACTTCAGCATGAAAAGGTAGAATGTGGTTTTCTGATATATTACACTGGAAAATAATTGCTGCATTGCTCCATAGCAGGACCATGTTTTAATTCCCCCATAAAACTTAACATTACCTTGTCTGGTTAAAAAGTAGGGAGCTGTTATTCCTCATGTTCTGGTATTGTGTGCCTCAGCTTTATGATGATTTAATAGGTAATACGTAATGCTTTACTCAAAGACTTAACATACTTCTGAATATGTAAAGTGGCTGGAGACACTGGCAATTTGTCCAAGTTTAAAGATTGTGTAGAACTTTTATACTGTTTTATGTCTAAAATTGAACAGTAAAAAGAAAAGATAAATGCTTTTAATGTTGGGGATTTTCCCATCATTTTTTTCTTAAAGCATTGGGTATCATGAAATGCTTGTTTGTCTGATAAAGTTTTAAGAATTGGGGGGCCAGGGAGAGAAATCTGCGTTAAGCTTGGCTGTTCATTGCAGTAGCAACTCTCTGGTGTTTTGCTTGTCCTGGGACTGACAAGTTCCCTTCTCGAATAATAGTGGTGGGGTCTTTCATTCCTTTGTATCCGTAAGCAGTGGCAGTAGGTTTTGTGGTCACACTATCTGTTCTGAAGTAATACTTGTTACTGCTTATTACATCACAGGTGTATTGCACCTCCCCGAATCACTCTAGTAAGTAGCTAGGCCATGCTGTAGAGACTGTGCTTCTGTAATAAAATGGAGAACATTTTCAGAGTATTTTGCAGAATATGCTTTGAATTTTTATATGTGTAGGCCAGCAGTGTTCACACAAGGCACAGATGTTCATCATCAGCCACTTTTGATTAGTCTTTCATTGTTTTCCCACTCACTGGATTTCTCTGTTGTTAAATTCAGAGTTTCTAAGAGCATGTGAAAATGTCCAGGTTCAAAGTGAATGCATTTAGAACCTTTGTGCACAGAGCTTGAAAAAGCTTGTTTCATATTCAGTATTTTCACTTATTTCTAGTAAAGTTAGTAATATGTGAATCTTATTTAGTAACTGTTTTTAAAATACATATTGTCATTACCTAGAGTCACAGTGTAGAGAGGCAACAGAATTACACTTGAATGCCCATCTGTGATGGTGCTGTGTTGCTGCAGCAAAAATCACTTATGTTTTTACATCCTTGAAAGCTATGTTTTAAAATCTGTGATTTCTGAATTTCATAGGAATGTGGTAATACCCCTAAATGTTAGTTTATAAATCACTATTTTACACAGATTTCAAACCCCCCTCCCCCAAGCATATTACGTATTTTATCTATTTATTTTTACAGGATCAACTTGTAGTAAATGTTGAAACATTAAGGGCTGAAAATGACCAAGTGAGACTCAGAGCCACATCACTTCATCATAGGTACCAGCACTTAATTCTAGTTCAGTTTTCTCTAATTTCTTCAAAGTCCCGTTGCTAAATGTAATTTTGTCTATAATAACTGAAAATATTTTAGTCATAGCTATTAAATGGATTCTTTCTAGAGCATATAAAGGAGTTTTTATGCTGCTTAGAAAAAATGGCAGTAGTGGGACAAGAGGAATGATTTGGGTGGGTGTTTGGGTTTGTTTTCTCCTTTCCGCCTACCTTCATAAGGATAAAATATGTTTCTTGGTGTTGTAGCCGACCCGATTTCCGATACCCAATGACACCTTCATCTGTGGCTGACAGTCATACAGACTCCTATGGCACCTCCTCAGTGTTAAGGCGCCCCCAGAAGGGACGTGTGGCAGCTCTCAGAGATGAACCTTCAAAGGTAATAGAACTCCGAAATGAAAATAAATATAACCCTTTGGCAAGATGAGGCTGATCTGTTGCAAGGAGATTTTAGGATGGGATTACATAGCAATAATAATGCTAGATTTTATAGCTCCTGTTTTACTAACTAATGCAAAGCTACCAGTCATTTTAATAGTTAACAAATAATGGCATAATTATTACTTTGAACTCCAGTTTGGTTTAGGTATGATAAGCCTGTAAAATATCACTTGAGACAGTCCTGCTTTAGTGTCCATACACTAATGTAACTCGTTACTGCTCTGGAAGCAATTTCAAGTCCCTTTCAGCACATGTGATTTCTCATTACATAAATCTGATTCCAAAATTCTCACTGGACTTGATAGCAAAATGCTACTGTAATTTATGGTGTATATAGCCAAGATATGTGACATTGAAAGTTATTCAATGGGGCTGTCCATTTTTATATTGCACTTAACTGTAAGGGACAAAGTTTTCTACATTACAGCTTCTTTTCTTTACGTTTCTCTAAACATTGCTGTCTTGATGGCTGTATTCAGCATGTAAGTGGGCTCTTTATTTTACATCTTGCAAAACAGTAGAAATACCATGTTTTTTCCCATTTGAGTTTGGATTTTTTTATTCTTTTAGGTTCAAACTCTGAACGAGCAGGATTGGGAGCGAGCCCAGCAAGCAAGTGTGTTGGCAAATGTGGCCCAAGCGTTTGAAAGTGATGTTGATGTGTCTGATGTTGAGGATGATAGGGAAACTATATTCAGTTCAGTTGATCTGCTGTCACCAAGTGGTCAGGCTGATGCTCAGACTTTGGCCATGATGCTTCAAGAACAGTTGGATGCCATCAACAAAGAGATTAGGTATGGTCTATCTGCTGTTAAGGTTAGGTTAAAAATGAGTGTCTGTGATGCTAGAAATACTTTTTGTGTGGTTATTTGGAAAATGGTGATTGTCCATTCAGTTTCCTGGTAAGAGGCTTGACAGTAGTAACTAGTTTGCTTATGCCTAAGTACTTTTTTTCAGGTTCTTTGTCTTCAGACCCATTTATGGAAGGGATTGTGTATTTCTAGTTTGACAGAAACTGCTTCATG